ATGAGAGTCATTGATCAGCTGCCTCCTGCTTGCCCCCTGCTGGCGATCGAGGAGCCTGCAACCGGGGCATGTGCCCTGGCCGGGAATCGAACCCTGACCTCCTGGTTCATGGGTCATCGCTCAACCGCTGAGCCACAGTCCAGGTGGTCGTAAACGATATTTACATGCGACTTCCGAGCAGAGGGAGGCATCGTTGAAAATTTCTGTGGGTGGCTGGGAGCAGTGAGGGTTTCTTCCAACCCCTTTAGAAGTTGAGGCTCTGCTTTTCCAAATCAAACCTTACATGGAACTCGAGTATTTAAGCCTAAAACGAGTGGAACTTCTCGGGTTGAAGGGGGCTCGATGGCCTCCTCCTGGGGGATCTCCGAGGACACCTGGAGCTGAGGAGGGGGGGGTCTGACAAGAAAAGTCCTGGGCCTTCCTGAGGCAGAAGCTATAGGGCTGGGCCCCAGTGAGGTCCTGACTGTGGGCTGGCACTGCCCCCCTGTGCTCAGAGACCAGCTGAGCAGTAAGGGAGGTAGTTGGGCTGGGCCACACCTTGCCCAGGGGGGAAGGCAGGTGGTGCCACCTTCCTGGAGAACGTGTCCCAGCACCACGACTGTTAATGTTAAATCTGAGGTACTCAGCCTCACAAAATTGCAGCTGGATTCCCACAAGCGGCCACCGTGGCCACATTCGTAAGAGAGGAAGAACGACAGTAAAATATTCTTTTGAAAGCCGCCAAATACAGGAAGGGGGACCATGAAACTGGACTTTCAGTGCCAACCTCTTGCTGCCCAGAACAGCTTCCTTCCTGGAGACATCAGGGGCGAGGCGGGAATTCTGCCGCGGGTCCAAGTTGCAGTGACGCGTTTCTGCCACCCCCTGGGGATCTCTGGGGAACACTGTGTTAGCAGGTGGAGGTCTCGGGGGGAACCGGGCCGCCTGGCCGGCGTGGCTCAGCGTTTGAGCATCGACCTAGGAACCAGATCAGGGTTCGACTCCGGGTCGGGGCACATGCCCGGGTTGTGGGCTCCTCGATCCCCAGCAGGGGGCGAGCAGGAGGAGGCCGATCCATGACTCTCATCATTGATGTTTCTCTTTCTCTCCCTCTCCCTTCCTCTCTCTGAAATCAATAAAAACATATTAAAAAAAAAAAATCAGTTGTCATGAGGACTTGGTGCTTGGCCCATTTCCTTCAGGCTCAGGAATCCTTTTAGGTAGAAAATCCCCACGACACAGAAAACACTCAGCCAATGCCAGGTTTTTGAGTCTTTTATTTTTTTAAGTAAAGAAATTCCATTGAGTCAGAGATAACAAAATTACAGTTTTTGTTTGTAATGATCATTGTTTTACCACCACACAGAATCAAACTGGGACCAAAAGTAACACGAGAACATAAAATGACCAAGGACACCGTGGTTTAGTATAATTTCTTAATAAAGGTAAATATCCTCATATTTAGAAAAAATTGCATTGCTAGTTGCAAATCTTAAACACCTCGGTGCTGGGGGGG